AAAGTTTCAAAGATAAACATATATTTTTTAGAACAATAAATATTTTTAGCTCAAGAAATGATTTAGCAACGATGTAAAACTGAAAAATCGAAGTTGGTAACACTGCAAACTGCAATGTTTGACTGCAATGTCTGACGGGTAGATAAGGTTAACGTGACGCTATAAATGTTTGAAGCGTTCTTTGATAAATCATTTAGTACAATTTTTTTCTGTAATTAGTAAATCAAATGCTTAGAAGCATAATTTGTAGTGAGACTTTGACGGCACTACTCAACTGATGGAATATTTTTGATTCGCGATGATGAAACGTTGCCACATTTTCTCCATCAAACAGTTTCAATGGCAGAAGTATCACATCTTTGGTTATATTTTTTTACTATTGTTAATAAACTGAGTGGTAAAAGTTGTTTTAATCTTCAAATATATTTTTAATATGCTATACTTTATATATTAAATATTTTATTCGTTTCTTAACATTTCAAATATTAATATTTGTTGAAAGCAGATACATAGAATTGAGTCTCCTATAAGAGAAAGAGAGATAGTTTATTATAAAATCCAGAATTCTGGATTTTTTTAATAGTTTCGCTAACAGATGACAAAACATGTAGTCTCACATAGCGATTTTACTTATATAAAATGCTCAAACTATGTCCTCTGAAATACATGATTTTCTTCATTTTCATTTAGTCCATAGTTCGAGCCAAAAAGTATTTGATTTTGTTTTGACAAAATATAATATCCTCATCATTAAAATTATTTGCATCCTGGTATTCACTCAGTGGCAAAATTTATTTATCTGTAAAAATTAATTATCAGAGATTATCATTCTATTATCAGATTAATAATGATAAAAAAACTAGACATAAGGTATAAGAAACAACAATAATAATAATATAAAAATATAATATGCCTATAAAATTAATGAATTTGACGAGTACAAAAAAACGTAATTTATTAATTTTGTACATTATTTATTATTATTAATATGATATTTTTTAATATTACACTATATTATATTATTAATAAGTAATATATTGTATTTAAATTATTTAAAAAAACAAATAAACATTTCTTACTTTTAGATAATTTTGAAGCAATTCTAACATCTCTTGAAAAAGTTTGTTAACGTAGACTGTTTTTTCTTTACTTTTTTAGTCTCTGCTTTCGTCTCTTTCCTCCTTGTCTCTTCTTTTTCTTTCTTATTTTCTGAAACAAGACTTTTTGGTTTTACAAGAGTTTCTGGCTCTGTTTCAGGAAATAATTCTTTCATCTCTACACTATTTTGTATTTCTGAATCGCTGGAATCATTCTGTGTACTAGTTCTCTTCCGTTTCTTAAGTATTTCATCTGTTTCCTTGCTTCTGTTCCACTTTCTTTCAAGTAAATTCTTATTTTCTCTAATTACTTTTTCTTCAATAAACTCTTTTCTAGCATTATTATCTTTCTTTTCGGATGACATTACTTCTACAGATTTTGGAGGAACCATCAGCTTATCAAAGAAATGATCCAAATTTCCCTTTTTCACTGAATTCTTTTTTTGTGGTGATATTTTTTTAGTGGTATTCTTTTCTGTCATACACAGATTTGTCGAATCTGCAGACTTAAAATCTAACACATTTTCTATTGTAACTTGTTTAGCAGCTGTACCCCAACGTAATAATTGCATTTCTTCATTACTTCGCATTTTGGCATCAAATTTTATCGCACTATATTTTACATCACCAGAATCAGCAGTGGCAAGTAGTTGCAGATCTACGATTGGCTTGTGAATACTGTAAACATGCTCCGAAATAATTTTACTAAATTTTTCTTTAGCTTTAGATACATCAGAATCTTTGACAACCTCCACATGCATTCCTTCTTCCTTTAGGTGACCTATTAATAAATATGTGCATTCTATGTTGTTGCTGCTATGATACTTTTGATAAAAATTCCACAAGATTTGTTTTGCTATATTAACATGGACCTGTAGTTCTTTGCTTAACCATTTGTAGGTAACCTAAAAATATTATTTGCATTGCATTATATATAATAATGTAGAATAGTAATATATATTTATATACAGAACAAAATGCAGAACATATATAAATGATTGAATAGAATTACCATAATGCAGAACATATATAAATGATTGAATAGAATTACCAGCTTATCATTATCAAACACATGACTGGCCAAAGTCTCTAAATGTTCGTTCAATATTTCCGTATTCATTTTCCAACAATTCGTGTCCCAAATGACAGTTCATTAACAATACGGATCTACAAATCCATATTAATATAGTTGAATTTCTGTCAAACTTCTTCTCTATTCCATAAAATTTCTGTAGAATGATACACGGCTAATAAATTTTTCTCTTCAGCCGTCTACAAGAAAATCCAAGGGAAATTAAATGAATAAACGTTATTGACTAAATACAAATTTCTTGAAGATGATTACAAAAGGCGATCACAAATTGTAATCACAAACTCTCAAAAATATAACACGTCCGCACTTGGCAATGGCTTATTTTTATGATTAGGTTAGGTTAGGTCGCTGTCATTTTTTTCAATATGCGTATTGATTGGTTGTTTATAAATCACGTGATCACAAATATTTTACTTTGAAAATTCCAGAATTCGTTCATTACGATATAATCCATTATTTTATTTATCGACAAATTTTTATTTTAAGAGAGAGAAGTGTGTTAACTTGATATACTTTAATTTATTTAAAGAGAAAGAAAATATAAAGAAAAATGAATTTAATTAAACCAAACTTTTAGATTAAATATGTGACCACTATTTCTCGCAGCGCGTTTGCATAAACTAATTGCGTTCATGAGAATTACAATGACAACTACAGAATTAAAAAGACAACTTTAAATAACAATTTAAAATTGTATGCGCTCTCAAAAATGTCAAAAATTAAAAAAATAGTAAGGAATGGACTATAATGATCAGAGTGAAGCGCTTTAAACGTTACGCAAATTTTATTATGTGTATACCTTTAATTTATTTGGACGTTTCAACTCATGTTCGAGTCATCTTTAGCAAAAATCCATGAAAATTGCGTTGAATCCTTAGTAAGAGAATCCTACCAGTCATCACATAAGTTGTACATGCGGTTGATTATTCGTAATGAATGTTTCGTAAACTTTTCATGTATGTATATATACCTATAAGAATATTTTATTATATGCATGAAAATTTTACGAAATGTTTATGGGTGCTTTCTATGATAATACAAGTCGACATAAGTGTCGTTCTATCTTTGTCACTTTCTGAATGTCAAGAAGACTAAAACGACGCTTGTGTCGATTAATTGTGTCAACATGTGCTTATCAAATGGAAGGTACCCTGATGAAAATAAAAATCGGAGCGTAAATAGGAGCGTAAATCGGATGTAATGGGAGAGTAACAAAAGCGTAAACGAAACTTCTAGAAGGCGAAAATTGAGACATCAAAATGTAAAAGAAGTATTTACGCTTCTTTTACATTTCATTGTTCCAACTTTCGCCTTCTAGAAGTTTCGTTTACGCTTCTGTTACTCTCCCATTACATTCGACTTACGCTCTAATTTTTATTTTCATCGGGGACCCTATATAGTTAGGACATTATTTGTTTATTATTTATATTTTTAACGACATTAAAAATGACCTAATTTTTGATCGAAACATCTGTTTTATGTTTTAATGTATATCTAGATATTATTTAGATGGAATATTAAATACCAGCAATTAACAACCAGCTTTGACTCTTAGTCCGCTTGATTCTTTGAAAAGAATAAAATTTTGCATTAATGACACACTATCGATCAATATAAAATTTTAACAAGATATATTACTGGATACTAAAATAATATCGCGCTAGATATCCGGCTATTTGGTCGGATAGTAAAAATTTCAGTGAAATTTTAATGAAATTTTTTATCGAATTTACTTATTGCACTAGTGACACTAATATATTTGTATGCGGGATAGCGAGTAGGTTAGATAGAATATCAATAAAATATGTATATATATTGTGGAATAATAAAAAAATCGATTGGAAATTCTATTCTACGTAAAACACTCTCATTTGTGACGTTTGCGTTCGTCAATTATTAATATTGCTCCTGTCAAACTGCACGAACTTTATAAACTTCATGTCGAAGTAAACACTACATGCATTGCTTTTCCATGACAGTATACCTTCGTGAATCATTGTGTGATGCTCCATGGAAAATTCGTGCAAAATAGCGGCGACGGTACGTGTAAATCGTGAGCGAAGGACTGCCTCCAAGGATGCCCGTGATATGACGCTATGCGAATTATTCTTTTCATCGTATTTTACATTGCGATTTATGTGGCAAGAATCGCGATTGGTGATGATATCGTCAAAAAGTTGTCAAGTACATGCATACAATCATTTAAACTTAAATTCGTCTCAAATTATTTTTTCATTAAACGTAACAATCTTAAGTTTTTATATTTATAAATTTATATTTATATACACTATATATTTTTTATGTACACATTTTACATTTATATGTTAAACATATTATTAACTCCTAATTAGCTACGGGTCATTTGGATTTAAAGCAAAAATTTCTGTACAAAATTTTTATTGATACTATGAGATTCTAAATTGTAGGTAAAACAACTTTGTATCTTCCTCTATCAATCGTTGTAAAACAGAGGTTTATTTGTTATTCTGTATTTCAAATAAGATGCTTTAGAACTTAGATGTAGTTTTCATAATTGTAATTGAGGATTAAATAATTTGTGAAGATGCTTTACAGCATATAGCTGTTTAAAAACTAATTTAATATATTGCTCATGCATATAGAAAAGACTATTTTTTTATTTTAATAAACAACTAATGATTGTTTTATTAATATTATTGTGCATACCTTCCTAGCCTCTCTTTTTTTCAACGCTTATAGGAAGCAGCAACAACAGATATATCTTCAAACAGAAAAGTACAACATCGCGAAATAGAGTATCCGAAATACCTATCGATGATGGAATAATCCATATGATAAATAAGTATAATAGACAGTCATTAGGAAATCAAATCGAAGGCTTTCCGCAAAACAAAAAAATTTTAAACAACTTAAAGCGAAGTCTGCGAAAAAGGAAGAAACATGTGAAAAATTCGAATAACAAGATTGTGAATCGTTGGAATAATTACACAGGCAATAATGATATCAATGAAGAGGATACCTCATTGAATGCTGCCAGATTTCCGATCTGGCAAGTCCTGGAATCAACACTTGCCGTAATCAATTTGGATTCTACGACAAATCCATCAATCATGGAAACAGAGATAATTAATCAACCATTGCTCGCGTTTGAAAAACCGCCATCGCAATTAGAGAATTTAGATCACTCTATGGATAAAGCAATATTTCCTGTCGCTAGGCGATATCCAAATTCGCGGAGATTACTTGATCTAAATGCTTCTAATAAAAATCTAATCCTTTCTAGAATCGCAAGTCCGAAATCAGAAATTACGGTCAACGTACAAAGTCCTGCTTTTAAAGGATTAAATAACAAAATGTTACTTTCTGCGTACCATCCTGGAGAATTTGTTGGCGTGAACTCATCGAACTCCAATCGTCCTCAAGAATTTCAACGGCGATACAATGGATATCAGAAGGATTTGTCAAATTCATACAATGTTAAAAAAGAATTATTCAGTGATCGTCTGATAAGCTCTAACAAAAGATATTTGCTAGTACCGGTGTCTAAGAATCTGTACGTTTTGAAGAACGTCCGAGAGAGTTCTCGAACAGGTGTAGATGGAATAATTATACCTAAGCGATACAAATTGTTAGAAAAAGATAAGGACAACGCAACCTCGGCAATCCTCTCGTTCAAGGCACATATGCATCACGATGTGAAAGATGTAGGTAGAGCGTATCTTCAAAGAGGCAATCTCCATTTATTTGATCATGACATGAATTATTTATATTCTACTCTTGAGTCTCGTGTTTACAAAGAAAATGAAAATCCTACAGAAAATCCGGCGTGGCCGACCCATCTTGACTTCTTGTACCCAGATATTACTTTTCAGACCGATCCCAATTTAATCGACGTTACTTCTAAAATTTCCGAAGAACAAGTTGTCTCCCCCGTTCCGGATTACGAAAATATTTCCTTGGTGGATATTAACTTGCGCGGCAGAATCAATTTTTATGATTTGTCGACACTTTCATCACCTTCTTCCTTCGATATTTCTGATTACGATGTAACTTCAAAGAAAATCGCGAATCACGGTCAACTGAGTACCTTATCTGCGGCAAAATTAAATGAGGTAAATCCGATTCAACAAAACAGTAGAAATTACGGAAACTCTTTGAAATACAGCTTTGGTGTCGAATTGACGACTACTGATTTCCGAGATACTTTTGACACGCTTGATGAATATATATATACACCAGCTACTTTAGAAAATGTTGAAATAGATTTAATTAACAATAAAGAAGTATTTGATACGCCACAAAGTCGAGAAGACGATCCGAAATTTTTAACGGAAAGCAACGAAGATAAATCTATAACAGACTTTATAGATGACACTTCAACGCAATATAGAGTTGCCTTTGACGCATCTGCAAATGAAGATAATACTTTCTTTCCGAATATCACTAACTGCTTTGTTAATAATGGCATTTTAAATAGCCAAGATATAGATAATCAGGAATACGGAATCTCGATTTCAAGCGAATATAACAATAAAATGTCAACACATTTCAACGATTTTTATTACAATAATAGATCAATCGATGAGGTATTGTTTACTAATTATATTACTAAAGTGGATTTGTTTCTTAATAAAGAAGATTACGTGACATCTGCGCCGTTACTTCTAAATACTGATAAATGGCCATTGAAGAAAGCGCAGTCTAACGTAGAAAATTCAAATGCTCTATTAATGGCAATTAAACCATTGTCCTCAGAGTTACAAAAATTGCTAAGCGCAATTCAGTTAGTCAATCAAAGTATCAGCAACGTGCAAAGTAGACTGTGCGATAAAAAAAACGTCGGATCAGCGAGGACCGAGCGAGAGAGCAAAAATAGAAACGCCACGAATATTACGAAACTAGTTGATAAAGTAGATTATTACGATTCTGATTTCTCTACAAAAAGTTTTAATAATCAGTCTTTGGACAAGAGACGTATTGAAATCGAAGGTAAAAGTGTTGCAGAACACGATGTAAAAATTAGAAGAACTATCTTTTTAAATAAATTCATGACACCGTTTCATAAGCGCAAAAGCTCGATTAGCGATTTAGAGGTACAGAACAGTCGCAAAAACTTCCTCAAAAAGAGAAAATTGAGTGAGAGAGAGTTTTCCAAATCAGGCGACAGATTGCCTCATTCGAGGTTTAATAGAAATTTAAAGTCTCTGACGAAAAATTACAAAACACGAATGAAGCCAATCCAACAGTTTAGCGGATTGAAAAAAATGAAGCGCACAACAACGCCAATTTTAAGATTACCGTATTCGATTAAAAGTGACATATCGAGCGAAAATTTTACAGGCGACGGGCAAAATCATCAAGAGAATGATCAAATAAATAGATCGATAATTTCGCCGGATAATACACCCTCTTTAAATATATCTGCAAAGAAGGACAATTCAGCGCATTTTTTATCGGATGATAAACAAGATCTGACACAACGCAATGTGAAGAGAGCAATGTTGAACGAAATATCTGGTTCTGGTAAAGAAAAAAAATTTCATCCTACTGATCCACAATTTTATAAGGAAGCAACGGCTTATCTTGATATACTTGGATTATTGGGCAAAACTAAAAACGTAGAATACGCTACTGATGTATGGACCACGCAGAAACTAATGGAGTCGTTGCCACCATTAATTTTCACAACTACAGAATTTTTTGTTTCTACGTTAACATTTTTGCCGTACTTTACCGAGGCACCGACAATTACAGCTTCCAGTACAATCGCAGAAAAGAAAGACATTTTCGAGATAACTAAATCATCGTTATATGAATACATAACAGTTACTGATTTTGGATACAGTGAGGACTATGATAAACGAAATTATACAAGCATGTATAAAGAGTACGAGTACGAAAATATAACTTCTAAAATTTCAGAGATTTTATCATTGACACAATCGTCAGTTATGTTAAGTACTTCTATAATACCAATGTCGACTACGTTGCCACTACTTTATATGACAGAATTAACAATGGAGGAAACTGCAATATCAATCACTGATTTAACAATAACACCAGTTGTTGCGATTACTACTGAAGTAAGTGAGATTTCCATCACAATTCCAATGATAGAAAATTTTACAATCAAATCTGTCATGTTATTAACTCCATTTTTAGAAGGTATGACGGATATTACTTTAAAGATTACAATTCCTGTAGTTACTAAAACTTCAATCGAAGAGATATCCTCGTTAATTGCTGTAACCGTGGTTACAGAGGAAAAAATTGGGGAAAGTATATCAACAAGTTCGGAGACGGAAATAATACAAAGTTCATTTATCGAAACAAATATATCTTTATATACATTCTCGACAGCACCATTATTTAGGACTACACAAACAGAATTGATGATAGAAACTACAACTTCTACCGTAGCAGTTTTAACAACTCTAACAATTACAAAACCTCAAACTACAACATCAAAATCTACTGTTGGTGAAAATATAACTTTGCATGAAGCTGAGAGTACTACTGCAATCGCAAGTTCGTCTACGGTTTTAGAACAAACAGTTGCGATAACAACTTTAATACCGGAGGACGAGAGTCCAGTGTCACAGATTGAGAAAACTATAACCGCGGAGGAAACAGCTACAGAAGTTCCAACGACTATCGAAACTTCAACGTCTACTGAAACTTTAACAACAGCTATGGAGATTCCAACAACTATAAAAGCTACAACAATTACAGAAACTTCAATACTTACTGAAATTTTGACAACTCTTAAAACTCCAATTACTGAAGAAACTACAAGTACTAAAACTTCAACGCCCAGTACAACTCTAACATCACTTAAAACTAAAACAACCGAAATTTCAACAACTAGCAAAACTTCGACAATTACTGAGATTTTATTTATAAAAACTACAATTACTGAAATTCTACCGATTAATAAAACTGTGACAACTGCAGAAACGCCAACAACTATCGAAACTTCGACAGCCAGCAAAATACTAACGATTAGTACAATTCCAACGACTATAGTTACAACAACAACGGAAACTTTAACATCTACTGAAATTTTGACAACTTATAAAACTCCAATTATCAAAGAAACTACAGGTGCCAAAACCATAACGTCTAAAACTTTAACGCCTATTAAAACTAAGATAACTATCGAAACTTCGTCAATTACCGAAATTTCAACATCTATAGAAATTACAAAAATTACCGAAATTTTAACGACTAATAAAAGTACAACAACCGTGGAAACTTCGATATCCATCGAAACCCTAAAAGCTAGCGAAATTCCAACTATTAGTACAATTCCAACGACTACGGCTACAACTATGAAAACATTTACTAAAATTTCGACAACTTATAAAACTTCAGTTATTAAAGAAACTACTAGTGCCGAGACCTTAACGTCTATCAAAACTTCAACGCCTATTGAAAAGACAACTACCGAAACTTCGACAATTATCGAAATTTCAACAACTATAGAAACTACAACGATCAGCAAAATTCTAACGATTACTGACATTCTGACAACTACAGAAACAGCGTTTACCGAAATTTCGACAACCAGCGAGATATCAATGATTAGTACAATTCCAACAATTACAGAAACTACAGTCATTACTAAAACTTTAACATCTACTGAAATTATAGCAACTACTAAAATTCCAACGATTAAAAAAACCGTAAGTACTAAAGGTTTGACGCCAACAATTACGGAAACTCCATCAAGTACTGAAATTCAAATAATTACCGAAATTTTAACAATTACCGAAAGTTTAGGATCCACAGAAATTCCAGTAACTTCGACTACATCTATTACAACTGTGTTTTTCACAACGTCAGAAAGTACTACATCATCTGTGACAACATCCCCGAAAGAATTTTTTCCAACATCAACTCTGACTACTTTGACTACAATTATTACTACTGAAACAGCTGAGACTATTTTAATTTCTTCGACAACATCTATTATAACGCTATTACAAACGTTGATTACAAATACGACGCTAAGTGAAACGCCGTGTACTACGATTTCTAGCATGTTTTTGACTACGACAAAAGGAGCTGTTACAACTTCTTTCAAAACTGCAGTTTCAACTACGTCACTAAAAGTAACAACGACAACGCCACTATCATTGGTTACAAGCACAATATCAAGTGAAATGCCGAATACTACGCTTTCTACATTTTTAATAGAAGAGACTACAGCTTCTTTAACACCTATGACAGTATCTTCATTTGAGACATTACACACTAAAGCTGCATTGCCAATTCCTACAACGGTATCCACAATCGAAATGTTCCTGACTATATCATCCATCTTGACTGTGAACGCCACAGTCTTCAGTACAACTCCTAGCACAATCACGGAAGAGATCCTCAAAAGTACAATATCTTTGCTTACATATTTGACGGTAACAACGCCTTCTATCACTCAAATTTCAATCAAGCCTATTATGATGGATAATGGAACAACAGCTTATGAGACTACCTCTACCTTAGTTACTTCATTTCTTTTAACAGAGACTATTGAAGGTACGACGTCTTCTGTAATAGAATATGAAGAAACTAAAGAATCTGAAAAATATTATGAAACCACGAGAGAAGAAATAGCGACAGTTACGAGTACAGCTAAACTAACAACGACAGAACGTACGACAACTTGGACTACTACAAAAGAAATTACTATCATCGAAGAAACAACACCAATAACTGACTATTGAAGGTACGACGTCTTCTGTAATAGAATATGAAGAAACTAAAGAATCTGAAAAATATGAAACCACGAGAGAAGAAATAGCGACAGTTACGAGTACAGCTAAATTAACAACGACAGAACGTACGATAACTTGGATTACTACAAAAGAAATTACTATCATTGAAGAAACAACACCAATAATGTTTTTTACTATATCGTTTTCTGTCGAAACGACTTCAGAAGCAACTTCTCCCGTAATCGAAACGATTATTTTGACCACGATAACTGAAGAAACTTTATTGATTGAAAAAATCGTCACTGTTACTCCTGAAGCAATGATCGAAGAAATGTCGTCATTATCGGAAGTTACATTAATTTCCATTGAAACAAGTACAATACCAATAATAGAAACAAGTATTACGAGTACCAGTTTGGTACTCACAACAGCCGCGACGACTGCTTTACTTTTGGAAGAAATTGCCACAGAAATTACGGAAACAAGTTTGATAACAACTATTACTACAACTGCTACATTGTCGCCAACTACTAAAAGACCAGAATATGCAACAATTTTAGAAGCTGCAATTACCGTGACGCTTGCTCCATTTTCCGAATTTATTCTATCAATAATAATTACATCGGAAACGCCTGTAATTACATTGGAAGTTATTTCTACATTGCCAAAAACTGTATCAGAAGAGTTTACGATGTCAACGACTGAAAGTCCATCAATAACATACGCTACTCAAATTTCTATATTACTTATCGAAACAACCATTTATCCCATTGTTTCAATTTCGGCAGAACCTACTGAAGAATCGCTAGAAGCTGAGACGGAATATTATGTAGCAAAAGAGCCATTTTACGAAGAAGAATATGAAGAATATGAAGAATACGATACCGAAATACCGACTAACAGGTGGTATTATTATGACGAATACGAAACCACGACAAAAGAAACAGCTGTGACAGAAAAATATACGAAATTACTTAAAGAAAAGACAACGAGTCCGCCTTTTATTGAAGGCACAACGACATCTTTATATAAAATAAAAACTTCAGAGTTTACAAAATACCTAACACATTCTGAAGCTGCATCAACTTACATTAATGTGACTTCAACCGTGGCTACTTCAGGAATATCTTATACCGAAAAAATTACTTCGACTTCTACCTTAGAAACGTCCACGTTGACTATAGTTGAAAATGTAACAACGGTTAAAATAGAAACTGAGTTAACAGCGTCCGCTGCAAGTAAAGAAGTAAAATCAACGACAATGTGGTTAACTTTTGGTTCTACTGAAGAATACACTCTTCCCTCTTCAACAACTTTTAAAATTCCGACGGAGTCACTTGAATATCTAACGATTCCTCCCAAGTACATGGATGTAGAACGGTTTACGCGAATCTGGCTCACCTCACCAAAATTCATTACAAAGCCTAAAGAAATTCCAAAGATTGTATTGAAAAAGACTACAATTCCAGAACAAGTTTCAGAGACTGAGACTGCCGTGGAAAAATTAACTTCTTTTTTCATCTCATCAGCGCTAACGACGTTACCGGAAAGAGAAGTTATTGAAGTGTACTTAACAACCATGAGTACTGCACCTTCTGAAATGGAAGGTATTATCAAAACCGCTTATGAAGTTACCACTTCAGCAATGATGGGAGAAGAGACTATTCCGAGTGTAACACCATTTATCACGTCCGAAGCTGAAACTGAACCTGTATTTCCTACGATGAGCAAAACTGTTGAATGGGAACAGAAAGAACAGTTACTACAACGACTCGATAATCTCAAACAGCATGAAAAAGAGATGGCGGAGAGAGAAGAAAGGCTGAAGGAAAAAGAAAAACAGTGGGACATAGAAAAGAAAAAACGCAGGAAAATGATGCAACACGAAAAAGAGAGAGAGAAGAATATTACAGTAACAACCGAGGGCTATGCTACAACTACTACTAGTATCTCGATTACATCTCCCATCTATACTATTAGTACAAAAAATTTAACTGTGTCAACTACAGAAATTGAAATTACATCCCCTAGTTTCGAGATATCTATTATTACGTTAAGTTTAGTCGAAATTACTACGGTTCCAACTAAAATAACTCTATTTAGTATCACAGAAAAAATCACATCCGAGATATATACTACAGAAAAAATGGAGGAAGTTACTACAATAGAAAGTACATCTGTGACATATGCTCTAGAAGAAACAGTTATACCTTACACTATACAGAAAAGCACATCTATCACATACATTACAAAAGAGATAGAGGAAATGCAAATTACAGATTATATAACTTTGACACCGTATGTTACTACATCTATCATGGATTTGTATAATATCGGTTTAGCTTCAATTGAAACTACAACTTCGTATGCTACCAAAGAAATGTATACTGTAAGTTATGTATTCGAAACGACTCCATTTAGTATAACAGAGGAAATCATATCTATGATATATACTATGGAGAAGACGGAGGAAGTAATAGAAGAGACTACATTTACGCCATACGTTACGGAAGAAATAGAGGAAGCGCCTTACACTACGGAGAGAAGCACATCTATTACATATCTTATAGAAGAGATAGAGGAGATGCAAATTACGGATTACGTAACCTTCACGCCGTATATCACTACATTTGTTGTAGATTTATATAGTATCGGCTTAGCTACAATTGAAACTACGACTCCTTATACTATTAGAGAAATATATACTACGAGTTACGTGACTCTTTACAGCGAACCTTTATTCGTTTCATCTACCATTACTAGTCCAATTACATTAGTCACCGATAAGTTCATTACTTTACCTATTACTACATTTAGTGAAAGACTTGAAGAAATCAGTGCAACTTCAGTTACAACCCCAACGTGGTACACTACAGAAGAAACATACATAGCAACTTATACAGATATTTATGGTAAACCTTTATTCACTTCACCGGAATTAGAGTTTACGATCACTTTATCGACTATGACTATTAGCACGACTACAGAGGTAAAGTACTATGAGGAAATAGAAAAATTGAAAGAAGAATTGCGCAAGAAGGAGCGCGAATTAGAAGAGAGAGAAAAGATTTTGCTGGAAAGAGAGAAAAGATTAGAGAGAGATATAATGGAATTTAATAAATACATGAAAGAATTTGAAAAGAAAAAAACATCATTTATACCGTCCGAGAAATCCATGCTCACTAGTTTATCAACGCCAGTGCCGCCGACTGAAAGGACTACTATAAAAGCTCAATTAACAACGCAGATTAAAAGTATAACCGAAAAGAAAGAAAATCAAACGACTACAAAGATAGGACCTACTCGACATACAGAAATGAAAGGCATCGAAGAGAAGAAACAAATAACGTATATTCCTGAAAAAACTGTCACGCAGGAAGAAGAAGAAATAATGACAAAACGAGTTTGTCTAAACGTTTTAGAAAATACAACGATTCCTTTCGATAAAAGAAGAAGAGATATTGTAACCAAAAAGATCTGTCTGCCGTACTTTCTGGAAAAAAATGAAGAGAAGGAATCAGTTGGTCGATTAAGCAGAAGGCTTCTCGCTCTACCAAGTACGAAGAAAATTAAAAGACCGAGATGGAATGTTCCATTAAATTTTCGGCATCGCAGAAGAGAGAAAGAGACTACTCGTAAGATTGACAATCTGCAGCTGTCGGATTATGAATGGCTGAGCAACAATACCACTAAGCCATTGCAATACTTTAAAGGTTTCACTAGGATTTATAGAAAAATGAAGAAATTTCCAAAAAAGATTGCAATGCAAAATAACACGACCAACGATTTTCAAAATAGTACTTCTCTATATGAGCAACATGTTTTTGATCATCATGAAAGTGTCTTCCAACCAACTGCAACGTTCATGTTGGATAGTAAGAAATATGGAAAGAAAAATGCCTTCTTCAGGTACAATTTGATTACTACAAGAAAAAGTGACTGTTACGTTGACGACAAAGCAAGTGTTCGAAAGAGAGATGTTTCATCGATAGAGAACAATGAACGGTTTTGGTCGAAGAAAAATACGGCCAATATTTCAAATGAAAAAGCAACAACTGCAGCCGAAGAAGATGAAATTTATACGGTAAACGTATTACACCTCAATTATGATGAGGATAAACAAACGCATGAAGTAATATCTGCTAAACCAGATGAAGACGAACTAACAACAATTTTATTTGAATCAAATGATGGTATTTATGTAACTGAATTTGAAAAAGATAAGAAAATCACAACGCCAAACTATAAGATTGAAGAGAAAAATGAAGATGATGAAATATCAGATAAAATGGAGAAAAAAATAGAAGAATATAATGATTATATCGAGGATTTAATAGAAGGTATACGCTAAAAAGATCTTAACTTTTCGAATATCATTTCTATGAGTTTTCATTTTCTTATATTTATTTACGTTGTAATACTATTGGTGTGCATTGCGCAAATATGAAATAATCACACTCGGAGAAAAACATGATGAAACTATAAAGGTAACAACTATAAGCTTTTTAGAATTAATATACATAGTTGAATAAATTATAGTTGCAATAACTATAACAGTTTAATCAACTATACATTAATTCTATAAAACTTGAATAATTATCAACTTTATAGTCGACATCGCTATCCTTTTTTCTGTTTAGTTAAATTATACCTTTATTTCTAAGGTTTTATTACAGTAGATATTAGAGAATCTATTTTTTCTTGTGTTATGACGTTGTAACATATATATTTCTCTTAAATTTTTTTAAATATTATAGATTATATGAATTATAAGGAACATGAAACATCAACACAAACATATGATGGGAGATTATTAGATAACGGAAATAAGGATAAAAGAATGACAGAAAATGAAAAAGAATTATTGAATCAAACGTGGCCTACTGAGAAAGATACAATGTATCATTTAGGCGGCACTAAATTATGGGAGCTTGATTTTGTTACGGAACCATCAGTTGAATTATGTACGACAACTGATAAAAGTAAAATCATTGTTGGATCGATCACCAGAACGACCTGTTTTGATGTTGTTCTTAAAAGAAAAGACAAAATAAAATCCAATATATCCTATTATAAACGCCACCTTAATAACAATAGGATAACGAAACATGTTTCTATTGAAAAACGAGATGCCAGTCTTGAAAACATAACAGGAATGAATGCATTGCGTTATGAGTTAAGAACGACGCAACCCAGGATGGTAGCAAAAAAATTAAAACGCGAGTCGCAAAAGCACAAACCAAATCATTACAAGCAGGAAAGTTTCGACAAAAAAAGAATAGTAAGACTTAACGATTTCCGATGTACTAGCGAAGATTCAACAGTGAAAAACCGCAAGCTGTGCATTGCTAATGCGAACAAATTGAAGCGTCAAATTGTTAGGCATGAAGATACAAACAAACACAAAAAGAAGCAACTAGCAAAATCGCGAACATCACAAAATTTACACTCTCTTTATAATACAGATAATGGTGTCGTAAATAAAAAAAATGCATATCGTAAAACGACAACTGCCAATCAATATCTTCAAGTAGGGTCCACCGACGATAAGAAAAACAGTAAGGAAGTAACGCATCCTAATATCATAAATCATAAAAATAAATCAATACCTGCGTCGCGTGAAAAAAAAATCCGTAATTGTTTCAATTGCATTTGTGATATCGCGAATGTAATTAACAACATAACATCTGTGCTTGAGAGAACAAGCTTCTCATTAGACGAAATTAAGGCACTTAATTGCAGCGAATATAAAGAGATACAGGATAAAATAGTGATCTCAATGGATTCCGACATGGAGGAAGTCAGAGAATTTCCCCAACCGCATTACAACACCGAATCACTTAAGGGACAGAAATATATCAAACTGGAAGAACTGGAGGATAATTTGAAAAGCAACTCGGAACTTTACAGCGGTACTTCCATCGCAAGTTTTTCATCAAGTATTTAATATTAAACATGACAATAATATAAAGAATTTTTTCCAGATAACGATGTTATCTCATTACCCGGTCTTAATCTCAATTTACCCTGTAATCAAGACGGTAATGGTATCACATGGCTATCAAGCATTAGCAGACCGAGTTACACATGGAAAAGAACGGACGGCATTGCACTTTTCGGTGCGGCATCACATTGTCCTGTCACATTTGAATTCGAAAAGAAGCATTTCACAAAAGACGTCATAGATATAAGGCTCAATAACGAATAATTTTTGAATTATGATGTATGAAAGATGCTCCGGTAGTTTTACACTATATCTTAAAAAACTGTGCATTATTAAGTCTTGTGTCTATGACACATTTCTTGTTCTACATTACAAGTTATATTATATGTGAAAACTAACTCATCAGAATCCAATTTTTCGTATAATTAATGTGAGAGTCTTTCGGTGAAATTTGGAATTTACGGAATCATTCGTTGTAGGTTTCGTGACGGAAAACGGCGATTTGGAATTGCGAAATGTGAACGCGAAAGACACGGGAAATTACACCTGTGTCATGACGTACATGAGCCCCGATAATGAGGAATCCGTGGAAACCACTTACGAAATCCATTTGCAAGGTAAATCACTAATTGAAATTTATATTTCAACGAGTTCGAAATGGTGATAAATGATTCGTCGAGCTAAAAAGAGGTCTTTTGCAGTTGTCACGCTGCCGAGGTACATTGTGCACGGAGAAAATCGTTATCATGTACGATCTTGCGACGAAGGGGACTTGGATGTGCTGGTAACATATCTACCCCCAAAATTGAACAATATTATATGCGAGGCAGATGTTTGCAACGCTTACGTCTTAACGCCGTCTTGCTCCCGAAGTCAAGTACGTTTCCTTATGTTAGAGGAAAGTGTTATCGATACTCACACAGATCTCCTAAAGAAATACTTCTTTATTTCTTGAAAAAACTAACTATTGCATTTTATTAATACCAATAAAAATATGATTTGTTTAGATATTTAAAGAGGTAAAAACTCATAATTCATATATTTGTAGCTTATTTCTACACAAAATTAGCTAAAAACAAATTCTATAAATGCGAAAATAAAATTTATGGAACTTTCTTTTGCAAATTGCACAATTTATATTATTGATAATATTATATCGCTTTACATGTTTCTAGTTTTCTAAATCAGTTATTTATTTTTTTTCTTAATATGGGTTTTATAAAGTGCAATGTAAATCATTATCCGATGGCGCAACATCCCAAGACGGGACAGGGCCTACCTCTCATGAGGTTTTCGTAATAATGGATTATTTTCCGGAATTAGGTTGTTAGAGAGCCTAATATCCACCTTCCAGCTTGGAGGATCCATACATATATCCACACATATATATATATATGGAACCTACAGTTTAACGCCAGATCCGAACGGCGCTGATAATCAAAGATTTCTTAATCACCAGATGTAGTCATTTTCGGCTTTTTAACGTGAAAAATCGCGTATGTGGGCGCAGGTGGGATTAAACCCGGATTTACAGATCGCGAGTCAATCGCATCGAGCGGCAAACCACTCGACGCCTCGCAATGTAAATCAGCATATTTATAAAACAGACTATAAGCTTATACCTTAGGGCCACTTTACGATTCGTCGATTAGCTTAATCAGCCGATTAGTCCAATAGCATTTATCGTCAAACGAAATGATAAATGCGATTGCCCAATTCCAATGGACTAATCGGCCGATTAAGCTAATCGGCGAATCGTAAAGTGACCTTTAATCTTTATAGTGTTGTATTATAGTATCAAATAGCCCTATCAAAACTGAAGGCAATCGTATATTTATAAGAAAATCTTCAAAAAAAGAAACTGTCGCGTTACATGTTTGCGTCTTACAAAACAGCATAAAGTATGCATATAAATGAACGAAAAACGTTTTATATAAAAGTGAAAAGAGTCTAGAAAATATACATATTTATTTGTAAGTATTTGTGTTGACGGTTCTTTTGAAAGAAAAAGAATAGGAATATGTAACATTACTATCTACTGTATCAGTTTTGGGATCCATTTTGTCAGATTCTCATTTTTACTTACCTTACGGAAAAGTTGATTATTGCAAAATTATAAAAAGTATTATAAAAGCTAATATATTTTCTGATAAAAGACACTTTCTAGTTTATATTTATATTTCTAAAGTTTTATTTTTGGCTTCCGTTTAAGAAATATTGTCCAAAAACAAAATAGTATCAATGATCTTCCTCTACTACACAAAATGAGATTCATTCTCCTGGACTCTTAATTTTGATCTTCTAATGTGCGTTATTCTTGGTCATAGATTACAGTGAATATTCTGTTAGTGCCAACGCATATTGTTAAACTAATGACGGTCGATCCTAAACGCTGCAATGTCTTCTGTCTTAAAGCCATTCAAGATAAACTCTCGCTGATACTGAGTAAAAATCTGCAAATCTTCCTCGGAAAGACTAGTTAGTCGACAAACATATATTCGTTTTACCTTGTCGCAACATACTCTCTACTTTCTTACGATACAAAAATTAACTTCATCCATTCTATTTTGTCTGGTTTTGTCTGTACACACTATCGCTCAAAAATATTTATCCATTCTTTGTCTTTCTTAATTAAATAAAGAGAATTTTAATCTTTCTTAATCTTTTAGATATTAGGTTTGATAATAATGTTTAATAGCACAAAATTTTATATTCTATATATGTAAAGACAATGTAGTAGAATTAGAATGAAATTTAAGTGTGTAAAAAACTATTTAAAAAAAATCGGGGTGGACAAAATACTTTTGAGTGGTAATGTATATTGCATTTTCATTAAAGTTTCATTACGTTACAAAGAATTTTTTAACTTTTTTATTCGGAAGATATATTCTCTCTCTTTCTCTGCAGTAAAATGTGATAAAATAATTAATAAATACTTATAATTTTATTGAATTAAAATAAAGGAATGTTGCGGCTTTATATAACTCACAATCTCTATAGAGTTCTTTAACTATAGTTATTTTTAGATTGCCGCATTACGAGCAGAGACTGGTGCCGATCGTTGAAAAGTCGTCATTTGCAAGACGGAAAAGAGGGAAAACCGATGCAAACGTATCCGCCGGAAGATCCAGTAATATCGGTTTATTCTCTAGCTGCCCAGCGGGATATGGTCTTCGTGATACACATTGTGGTAAGTGATTCACATATCTGGAAAATCAATACGATATAATCAATTAATTAACAGTTAACGGATTTTCTTTCAGTTCCTTGTGATGTGGGCACTTATAGCGAGGACGGAATATCGCACTGTAAAAGATGCTCACCTGGTACGTATCAACCGAATCACGGCGCGAGAGTTTGTCGTACGTGCACTAATCCAACGACAAAAGGTTGTTACAATATGGTACGTATCCGATGCAGCTTGTAAAATATGCACAGTTACGTCTGAAGAGTTTCTAGATAATTCTAAAAAATTCTAAAAAATCGAGTTCAGATATCAGCTTTTATTCTTATACTTATATATTGCTTTCTTACAATGCAATAAAAATTAACTTCATCAATTCTATTTTGCCTGATTTTGCCTATACACGCTATTGCTCGAAAGTATTTATCCGCTTTGTCTTTCTTAATTAAATAAAGAGAAACTTTAATATTTTTTAATCTTTTAGATGTTATTTGGGTTAATAATGATGTTTAATAGCTCGAAATTTTACATTTTACATATGTAAAAATAATATGATAGAATTGGAACAGAATTTAGATGTAAAATATATATATATATATATATTTCTTTTCCTAAATCATTTTTAGTGATATCTGATGATGATGACAATGATGATGATGATAATGATAATATATAAGTTATATTTATCAATATGGAAACTGGCAATCTTTAAGACAACTAGCAGTTAATTTTTAATATCAATCTTTAACATTATTGTGGTATATAAATCATTTTCTCTTATATTATAGCTCTGGAATTCTTTCTCTGCTGTAATGGTAACTTTAGCGAGTATCGGCGCGATGCTGTCGATATGTTTGCTATCACTATGGATAATTTGCTGCGCTAAGAAGAAATTCTGCGTAAAGCGAATAGCTGGTCTTATTATCAGGGAAAATACGTTTGAAGGAGAGGTAAAATTGCAGTTTAATATTAAATTTTAAGAAATGATAGAAAAGATGGACAATCGACTTTTTTACTTTACAGAAACACGTGGAGGAGCAATCGTTGATAAAGGCAAATGAAAACGAAGATCAGCAATGGGACAGCGAGTACAAAGCCAAGAAAAAGAAAGGAAAGCTTTATGTAAATAAAAAACACCGAAAACAGAACGAAATAAAAAAATACAAAACTCACGTTCGTAAAATTCTTGAATACGATAAATTTTTATTGATCTTAAAAATTCTTACGTTAAATTTAGCAGAATTTAAGTGTCCAAAGTTAATTTCGTTTTTTATTTCGCTATAGCTACACGAAGATGAATGGGGATCGCATCGTATAAAGAATGTCCCAATAATTAGCCCAGACTCTTATCGATCTCATGAAGATTATAACAATCGTAAGCATCTTTTAATATATAAACATATGAAATCTTCTGAAATACTACTTCTTTACATAAATGTTACGTTTTTGTATATGTATGTAATAACTCTATTTTATGTAGATTATCCAAAGCGGTCATGTCGTAAAGGACCGCGCCTACCAGAATGTGATTTTGATACATGACAAAAGACATACCTGTAAGAAAACTTACTGCCAATAACGAAAAGAATTACGTAATTTAATAGAAACCTGTAAGATACTTTAAACTTAATTATTAATTAAAAACCTATGTAACATTTATCCGATTAAGTATATATATTTTTAATATATAACTATATCTACTAAATCGCTATGTTTTTTTTATCAAATGTTAAATGAGGGAAATGATATGCTTATGAATACTGACCCTTTTTACACCAAGCATTTGATACATTAGTAATTTTCTATTATCTTAATTTCAGCAATGTATATAAAGAATGATGTACTAAATTGATATAATATAATTAAAATCAAAATAATAAATAATAAAAATAATTAATTAATATTCACATTATATGTTTATGTGTATCACTGAAATTAAGGTAATTCAATAGAAAATTAATAATTATCCATATCAAGTTCATAATGTAAATTAGCCAACTGCAAATACGAAATAGAACTCAACTCTAGTAACATGCAAGGAAGAAAACAAAATGAGTAGTAAATGATAAATAGTAAATGAACTTAAAATATCAGATTGTACTCCAGATGATTAGATATATTATTAAGACCGTAGAATTGAAAGTTCACAACAAAAATGATATAATAATCTTAAAATAAGCTTCTACATCTGATAAACATTATCAGATATCAATAAATCATCTTTATTACAAACGCATACATTTCCTATTACATTATCCTAGTGTACATAAACTGCTCACAGCATTGATATAGGATATTATACTAATCCGATGCAGTCATGTAATCTGAAAAACAGGATAATAATTAAGAATGGTATGAATTTTCATCAATCAAAAGTATGTATTGATATGTATCCACGAATAAAAACTAAGGAATTTATTATAAAATACCTGACTCGCAAGGCGACACAACGTACTAAAAGCTTATTTTTTCAATTGATGACGGACCATGAAGAAGGGAAGGGAAAATCCACTGCCGCAATAAATCATAAACCCAAGTAGCAGCAAGTGCCTATTTTTCGTGCTGAAGGGAAAGTTCTATAAGGAATATCGTGATTAAATGTCCAATGGCCGTTTCATACATTGGATTGTTATGCAACTATACGAATTTGTTACTCACGTATCCAGGAACACCGTCGTAAGGATCGTGATGAGCACTCCTACGAATCGCGCTCGTTGTAAACCTTCTCACCTGGTGAGCGATCGCATTTGCTGAATTTATCATTTTTGAGAATAAATGCTCGACCAAACTACCAAAACTAAATTTGTTGATTTGTTCCTACGTTACTCACTATTGCGCATTCGTGCACATACGCAATTGCACACTTGTGCAGATACTAGACATGACTACAGATGGCGGCCAGGGTTGCCAAATTATTTTGACAGAACCAGAGAGAAGTTTGAGACTCTTGAGAGTAGAGAGTCCTATATATAAGTATATGAGAAAAGCAACGTTTGCTGGATTCACATAGGGCCACTTTCACCAAGCTCAGCCTTAACCAGCCTAGTAACTGTAATGGAATAGAAAGAGATAGAAATAGTTCTATCTCTTTCTATTTCATTATAGTTACTAGACTGGTTAAGTAAACCGACGATGGTGAAAGTGGCCCATAGGATCCTAGATTTATCAGAGAGGCGCAACCGGGGTTGTGCATTCTGATTCGCTGTTGCAATCTAGAGTCCTAGATTTATCAGAGAGACGCAACCGATGTTAGGCATTCTGATTTGCTGTTGCAATCTAACCAATTGCGTGACTTGGCAGCCATTTATAGTACTAGTGACATATTTCTATTTCATTTTATCCTATACATTCTATCTCACATTATCCTACACGTCTTATCTTGTTTGACATAGTTTAAAGGCAGTTTCATAGCATGTCGGCCATGTTTAGTACTCTCCTTAGCACCTTTGTCATACTGACTTAAGCCGGTTGTGACTCTCTGATAAATCTAGGACTCTAGATTCACACTGCATCCGATGTGCATCATACGACGGTCTGCAACCAATCAGAAAACAGAATTCCGATGGATTTTGCTTCGTATCATCGGAATTTTGTTTTCTTTATGTTACTTTATTTTGAAGCGTCTCTATGTCCACAAAATGTGGACATTAAACTACGTAGCCAATGTCCATGATCCGGTCGGTAATGTCCACAATTTTTTGGTCGTATTCTTCGCTATGTCCACGAAATTTGGTCCGTTAAGCCCGATGTCCACGATGTTATGGCGTGTGTACACGATGCTAGAAATCGGTCCGAGAAGAAAGAATTGACCATTGCGATTGGTCAATTCTTTCTTCTCGGACCGATTTCTAGCATCGTGTACACACGCCATTAGAAATCGGTCCGAGATCTCGGACAGAAAAAAAATTAACAAATCACATTTGAACAATTTGATCACATGACCATTACGATTGGTCAATGCTTTCTTCATCCGAGATCTTGGACCGATTTCTAGCATCGTGGACACAAGGTTTAACGGCCCGAAATTCGTGGACGTAGCGAAGAACACAATCAAAAAATCGTGGACATTACCGACCGGATCATGGGCATTGGCTACGTAGTTCAATGTCCACATTTTGTGGTCACAGAGGCGCTTCAAAATAAAGTAATGGCGCGATCCCATGGTGCGGAATTAGCGCAATGCGGAATTGGCGGAACGTTCGTGATTGGTCGTGGCTTCATTCCGCCGATTCCGTTCCGCTAAAATGTGTTTTCCTATGTCCCATTGAACGGAACTTGCGGAATGCGCAATTAACTCTGACCAATTGCAATAGTCTTCCTGTAGATCACTTTCATTAGATCTACCAGAATAGCGTTTGTCATTGGCTCGCATTGATTGCCTGAGACTGAAGTTACATGCAGTGGTTCATGCGATAGCAAATCGTGAACCAATAGAAACAGATATCGTGCAGAAAATATAAAAATACTTCGTGATTGGTTGAATTTTGTTCCGCTACCGCATGGACTGCTCCATATAACGTCAGCCTGAGACTCTATTCTTGAAAAAAGTCTGTTCGCGTTGCATGAAATCCCCAAATATTTTTGCACTTAAAATGAGATAGATATATATTTGGTTTTGAAAAGAGAGAAAGCGAAGATGCCGAGTGCAAAAAGTGCGAGCAACGCGAACAGATCTGAAGAAACGTATACGAAAATCTAGGGAAACACTATAGTATACGTAACGTATACTGTAGCATTCCCCTAGATTTTCGTATACGTTTCTTTTCAAGAATAGAGCCCCTGATGACTCCTGCACACTGGACGCGGGAACGCTTGCCGCGCGGCAAAATGAGACACGGTAAATACCTCGGCACACCAGTGCGATATTCGTCGCGCGCGACACGCAATATCCAATGAGTGTTCAGCTTTACCGATGTTCTAAAGGTATACTCTCATTGGATATCGCGTGTCGCGCGCGACGAACATCGCGCTGGTGTGCCGGAGTCATAAGGCTGAGTTTCCACTGAGCGCTAAGCCCGGATCCTCATACGGACAACAGTGCTTTGACACCGAGAGCTGATTGGTGAAAAGCCAATTGTGGGGGTAAATTTTACTCCCACAACCGGCTTTTCACCAATCAGCATTCGGTGTCAGAGCGCTGATTGGTGAAAAACGGGTGGTGGGAGTAAATTTTACCCCCACAACCGGCTTTTCACCAATCACTGCTCTGTGTCAAAGCGCCGGTGTCTGTATGAGGATCCAGCCATATTAAATGTTTTTTAAGTACGTAGATATCTAATCGCACGTTTCCACGATGAGAGTCTTCTTTTATAAATTATGTCACGTTTTAATATACTGACACAATTCGATTACACTCACTTGACAACACGAGGAATTGATGAACCGGTTAATCATTTAATCACTAATAATCACAAACGATTGATTATTCGGCGATTGAAAATCACACGAAGCTTTAAAACACGCGTGTAAGCCCGGATCCTTATACGGACAATAGCGCTTTGATACAGAGCGCTAATTGGTGAAAAGCCGGTTGTGGGGGTAAAATTTACCTTCATCATCGGTTTTTCACCAATCAGCGTTCGATGTCAAAGCGCTGTTTTTTCGTATGCAATACTTTTCAAGAATAGGGCCACCGGGCCAACACAACATGCGTTACGTGCGACAAGCAGCTGACTGACTTTGGCTGCGGTCGATTTGGATGCTGTCAGCGCTTTTCAATACTTCTATTCTTATTTTACGTCTAATGAACGATAAAGATAGAATGATGATTACAAGCGCTTAAAGCGCGTGAGGGTTGACCGCAGCCTTTCTTGGTTATCGGTGCAATGAGTGCAGTTCATGCATCACCGAGGCGCTGTGTGATCTGCACTCATTGCACCCATAACCACGAAAGTCAGCTGCTTGCTGCATGTTGTGTTGTTGTATACAAACTTACACACGTGTTTTAAAGCTTCGTGTGATTTTCAATCGCCGAATAATCAATCGTTCGTGATTTTTAGTGATTAACTGATTAACTGGTTAATAAATTCCTCGTGTTGTCAAGTGAGTGTAATCGAATTGTCAATATGTTGAAACGTGACATAATTTGTAAAAGAAGACTCATCGTGGGGTAACGTGTGACTAGACATTTAATATTTGAGTGATGGAGAAATGAATTACAGTAAACACTTGTATCGAGCATTATTATGGTACATCCAAATTTATTCCTCCAATTGTTTCAAGAAGCTAGAGCAAAATGGAATCATCGAACATCTACAAGGTAATAAAAATTTTATAATTGAGATAATAATAAGTTTTTAAAGTGTTTTTGGCTTACGTTTTTGTTTCAAACATTTATAACTCTTTAATTGCTAAAAAGCACGATCGCGTTTCTCATAAAACTTCTCATAAGTATGTAATAAATACTACGAGCTCGATATCGCAGATAAAATTGTTAGAGGAATTTTTGTAAAATTGAGAAATTAGACAATAATTGCGTGCCACAAGTATTATAATGCCTATTGACATACAGTTAAGTCTAACAAGTATTTCAGTACGTCGAATTGTATGAAACGCTCTTAGAATTCGACGTACTGAAATAATTGTATGATTTGTATGTCAATAGTTTTATAATACGTATATCGCACGTAATTATTGTCTATGTTCGCCCTTTTACGACGTTTTTCTAACAATTTTATCAATGTATTATAATTAAAATGTAATCCAATACTTAAAGGGTACAATATCCATTTTAATTTCATCATTCTAATTTATAATTTAATGAAATTAGCATATTTAAAGTATGTCAGTATGTGAAAGGCAAAGAGATAGTGTGGTAGAGGAAAGATAGAAGGAGGGGAAAGAAGAAGGAACGTGTTTTTATAAACGTATGAATGCATCCAGTCAATGTGCGCTCCGTGCGTAAAGCGCCCACGTCCAACCATGAGCGCCGCTCCTGCCCGTCTCTTATATGCGACCCGTGATACGCTAATTATTTCTTCTTGTAATTTGAAAACTAAGTTTTTTTTGGATAAAATTTTCGTAAAGGAAAAATCGTCTTAACACTCGGTCAGAAATACGTCTCTTCAGGGACACATGGGTTATTCTGAATCACCCTGTATATATATATATATATATATAGGATAAAGAATCTGTATCAATTTGCTTATTTAAACCTTGTAATTGTCTTTTAATATGCACCATTTCTGATATTAATCTTTTGTTATAGGATAGTTCTGTATCCAATATTTTAATTTCCTCCCAATTATGATTAAATTTGATGCGATGGTCCGAAATAACAGAAGAAGATCCCTTTTTTTTGTTAATATCAGAAAAGTGTTCATGCACTCTAGTATGTAAGTGTTTTTTTGTTTGGCCGACGTAATTTGTATCACAAGCATTAATTAAATTAGATTAATTATCCTTGTTTTATTATTTTCCGTTTGTTTGTATAACTTAAAAAATGCCGTTTATTTTTTTCCTGCAATTAATAAATTATTAATAATGAAATCAAATAAGGGAAGAGTGGGTAAAGTAAAATACGCAGTAGCAATACAGCTGATGAGTTTGGAGAAATTTATTTCTTATACATAGCAAGAAATTTAATTATAGAATATTATGACGGATACATTTTTTATTTCATGATCGGAAATTTATTTCAATTAATTAATTAATTGCTTAATTAATCTGAATACTGAAAGAAAATAGTCGTATCAGCAACTAGAAATTTGAAGACAAATAGCGCCTCAACTATGTATTATAAAGTTCTACTAATATGAACATAAATAAGTTATATGAACTAAGAAAATACAGTAATATTAACCAACTACAAATGATCAATATCATCATATTTTCTTAGTTTAATTTATTTATTGTTCTTATTAAAA